ATGCTGGGCCCAAATCCCGACCGTATCCCAACAAACGCCAAACTGGACCGATGCAAGGAGATTACCAAGAATTTCAAACTCTTTGAATATGGTAAATTCGTTATTCACGATAAGAAAGACAAGTCGAGGATTATCGCCGTCATCAAATTCACGCCAATTGACAAACTAAACTCCGATGAATTCGCCGACATCAATTTCATCACACAATTCTTACACTCAGCTAAAAAGTTTGTCAATGCAGTTGGATCAGAATCAAGGTCATGGGGAGGGAAGATGTTCGCAATAGGTTGGAGGAAGGCTATGGTCGGCTTTCAGCTTATTGGTCTTTATCGTAACAAGGCTGCAATTGATCGTTCACCGGAAGCTTATGAATCGCTTATGAGGAAATCGGGGAGGGCTTCAAGTATCCTCGGTCGATTCTTTCGCCGTCTTGCAAATGTCGCTTTTGCCGACAATCAAGATACGATGAATAAAAATTCTATCCCATCGATTGGACAGCCGGACTTTGGAATGCCACTAGGAGAAGACGATTGCGCACCCAACTTGACCTTTACCACAGATGGTTTCTTTAATCAACCGCACTGCGACACCGAAGATTTGTCGGAGTTTGCCTTTGGCTTGTTCACTCCAGTGAATAAAGCAGATTGGTCCCTACCAAATTCCAAGACGTTATCTCCATCTACGGGACGCGCCTTCGTTTTCCCAGATTATCGATGCGGTATTGATTTGTCAAAGAACAATGCAGTCATTAAGGTTGTCTGGCGAGCAAAAGAAGTTCGGCATTGCACTTTATTTTCCGCAGACGATTCCGTTTACAATCAATTGGGAATGTCTCTCCAGATAAACAAAAAGACGGCAAATACTTCGCACGACATAAATTCCGGCGCTATCTTCAAGAGACCGGCATATAAAGATAAACCTAAAGAAAAACTTTATATTGGTAACGTCGCCCATTATGTTCAAGGCTTGCTTTGAGAACCGCTTGATATAGTTGAGCGGTAAACTTATGAAATTGTAATTAACGGGCAAAATAATATCCTTTAATCTTTCTAACTCTTGCCTGATCCAATTGTACGAATTTGAGAAATTAGCACTCTTACTGCAATTCATGCTCATCTTAAGCCCTTGAGCCACCTGGTACTTGACTGCATTGTCACATTCATGAGTCCATATGGATGTTTCCGTTTGCTAATTTGTTGCTATGCTACAAATTTCATCATTAGCAGACAAATGCCTTGAGTTTGAAAGATAAGCAGACAATGAGAGTTAGTCCTGTCTGGCCATATCTAATAACCAGACCGGTTGGTTTTATGTGAAAGAGTCCAGTCAATGTTAGGTGCTTCGATGGACTTTATATCAGGCTGGGTGAAGTAGCTCCCGTTTGGACTAAGCCTGGCTTCAAAAACTTGACCAGCCAAGCCAACAATTTTTTTCAACTTAACTGAACTCACACGCGCTGTGTACCTAACACCAAGCGGAAGTCCTTTGGTGAGGATATATAAATGGGCTTATGTTCAAGTCACACATTGTCGAAACTTATTCCACCAAGACAAATCTACTTCTCCATCTCCAAAACAAGAACCCCTTATACCTATACACCAGTCAATACGTCAAACATGGACTTTGTAGTTCAAGGCTCAGGAGTGATTTGCCCTCTTAATTTTTCCGGTGTGGTAAAACTACTATCCAAGGTAAGAAGTTCTTCTTTTCGCTTCTACTTATACTAACATCATTTTGAATACGACAGGAGACATCTTTTGACTATGATAAGGGCACCTGCAATGTTTACTTAGTCAAAGTTCCAGATTTATCATCCACCTTCATTGGCGACGATAACGTTTACCGGGAGGGCGCCAAATTCATTCAGACAATTGTGGCTCCATGTCTAGACGATTTAGGCGTAAACTTGACGTTGCTGGGTAAATATGAACTCAAAGGATTAATTATCAGGGATGATGCTTGTGGTACAACATGGGAGTTTAATCCCTTGCTTGCAAGGATTTCGAAAAAATTAGATCACCTCAAGGTATCGGGTAGCGGATGCATTGCCACTGTCAACTTAGCCTTGGCTGCAGACAAAGACGGACATGGACAAGATGAAATTTTGGTTAACAATGCCCCTTCAGTAAGTTTGATACCTCAAATTTATGATCAACACTGACAATTTTGTTTAGGACTTTGCCTCCTTAATCCAGCTTCGTCTAATTGTAAATATACGTCATTGGGATACAATATAGGTAAAAAAATTCATGCAAACAATCAAGTGAAAAAGTGGAGAATTAAATAAAAAAAACGGGGTCGGAAAAACGACTCTCGTTTTTTCAAGTCCCAAAAAAAACATGTCAAATGCAGTATTCAAGATATAGTTTTCATTTTGATCCAAAATGAGCTTTACCATCATTTTAACCATATCTTAAAGTGTAGGAAAAAAATTTAAAATATCAAAAAAGAATGAAAATTAACCTGTAGAGATTTAAGTGAAAAAATGTGTCTAATTTCAGTATTGAAAATGAACCATTGATTTTTATGGAATTTGAATTACGCCATTAAATTCTACGCACACTGAAACCTAGGAAATAAATTTAAAATTTCAAAAAAACATAAAAAATAAGGTAAAAACATTAATGCAAACAATTAATTGAAAAAATGAGTGGAATAAAAATTAATAATCAAAAGTCATTTTTATGATAAATGGTTTTTACCATTAGATTCTAAACGCTTTAAAACATAGGAAACATTTTTAAAAATTCAAAAAAACTCAAAAAATAAGCGGTAAAAAATTAAATAAAAAACCGCATGCAAAAGCGGAATCTGCGTGTGCTGCACGCGGCAGAAACTGCGTGTAAACGCGGATTTACCGCATTTTTTATTAACACCCTTCAAATAAATAAATAACTTACAAATTATAAAGAAAACTTTAATTATTATTTCAGATTCTGAATCTGCATACAATTTAACCTAGAGTACCTCAGCCAAAGGTACCCTTAATTCTAACTCCTTCACCCTGTAATATACACATGAATAATTAACAGGTACCCTCAGATCACGGGTACTGTGACACTTATGCTTTATGCATATTTTCCAAATCCAGTCACAGAATTGGATTATTGTGTATGTTTTAGAAGATAGAGCAGTGTGGAGTACTGTCTCCAAGCCCGCGCACCACATAGTCATGCTGCGCACTGGTATCCAAGAAATGGGCCACAAAAGCCCCAGAATCCCCATTGCACGTGACAACCAAGCCCCCACACGTGTAATAAGAATTTCAACAAGCTAGAATATCCATAAAAATCCTACAGTAACCATATTCCAATGTGTAACACATGTAGCAAGCCTCAGAAGACACCTCTTGAATATTCTGTGGCCCATTTCTAAGGAAACTTCTCCACATAACAGAGTAGCCCCTATCCACAGGTTCCCATGGGAAATTATTGGCTTTAATAATTTAGTGCATGACCCCTTGGAGCTTCTAGAATATTATCCCTAAGGTTCCAGCCCTGGTCACATCACCATGTGGGCCAAAATGGGCCCAAAAGTGCCCCCAAGTCCTACTAAGCTCCCCTGAGCAACCCCTGAGGCCTTCCACAGGTATTTAAAGGGAATTCTGACCGTCCAAATAATAATCCCCTAGCTTTACAATACCATATAGAAATTTACTTACCATTTACAAGTCGCCTACACTTGTAATTAGCCTAGTTATTACTAATTTTGCTGTTATTAAGCCTCAAGAACCCTCAAGAAACTCCACAGCTGCCACCCAGCACTCAAAATCAACCTTTCTGAGCGCTTCCAACTACCCATTCTCTACCCTGAAGATCCTCAAGACCCCTTAGCATTACCACTAGTAAGTAATAACCCTTTCTTGAAGATTTTCCCCTCAAAATTATCTCCTGGGATTTAAACCACACCTGCTACAGGCACCAGTGTACCTGGTACCTAAATCCTCTGTGCACGAGACCTTATAGGGATTAAACCACTCCTGATTGTTCAGGCCCCTCTGGTTTTATTTATATTAATTTTATTAATATAAATTGGCCACTTTTTGGATTTAATCCATAAATTCCACGTAATTCTTCTGAATTACTTTTACCAGTTTTATACCAGAGTTTTTACCATAAAAGCTCTTACTTTTTTGTAGCTAGAGGACACGTGTCTTGGCATCACATAGGCTGATAAACCTCCAGAACAGATTTAAATTAAACATTTACATAATGTAACATAGGTAATAAAACTAGCCAAATGAAACCAAGAGAGGTAATAAAACTGGCTAAAAGAAAACTACCTGAATGATCAGAGCAGAAAGGGATTTAAAATGCAATGTGGTGCAAAAGTATCAGAATCTAGAAGCAGGAGATCTATAAGGATGAGTCCAAAAGAGGTTTGTCCAGTTCAAATCATCGGCCGCTTCTAGATCTACAATGAAGCCAACAAGGGATTTTGGAACATCATCAAATCATGCAATCATTTGATCATCCTTGTCACTATGCAGGGCTGCTAGCTCACCTCCAGTGTTCTCAACATCATGATCCATGCTTCAAAAAGCAACGTAGTCTGGAAAGAAATGTTCCACATGGTTGAAAGGGGGGTCTGACCTCATCCATTCCTGGAGCATCGGTTGAAATAAGATGTTGGATGACACAACCTGGCCTTCGGGAGTCTTGATGTAGTTGATTTTGAGGGCGCCGCTGAAGCTGTACTTTTTGCTCAGCTTATTATGAATGTGTTCCATATTTCCTCACGTGATGTAACCTTCAAAAATACCAGTGTTGAACAAGATGTCAAAGAACTCTGTGATGGTGACTCGGAAGATTCGACATTAGCGTTGAACATTACACAGATCAAATACAAAAGCGACAATTTACCATCCTCCATCAAATATTGTGCCGCCTCCACGCCAAAGAGCTCTTTCAGTTCAAGATCAGTGAAGAGCCTATCCTCCACCTTGATTGCTGTGACTAGGAAGATTCAACTTTAGCGTTGGATACAGAAGAATCAATCAACTATTTACCTTCCTCAATTGAATCTTTTGCCGCCTCTGTGCCAAATAGCTCTTTCAGTTCAAGCTCAGTGAAGAGCCTTTCCTCTTCCTCAATCACGGAAACTAGGAAAATTCAATGTTAGCATTGAATACAGAAGAAGCAATCAACGATTTACCTTCCTCAATCAAATCTTGTGCCGCCTCCGCGCCAAAGAGCTTTTTGTGTTCAAGCTCAGTGAAAAGGAAGAGACTGTACTCCGCCTCAATGGCAGTGACTGGTAAGATTTGATGTTAGCGCTGAATAATACACAAATGTAATACAAGAGAAGCAATTGACAATTTACCTTCCTTGAAGGATTCCTGTGCCGCCCCCATGCCAAGGAGCTCTTTGAGTTCAACCTCAGTGAAGAGCCTATCCGCCGTGTCAATTGCAGTGACTGCAGTGAGTAGGAAGTTTTCTTCAAACACAGTAAAGAGCCCATCTGTCGCATTGTTTGCAGTGACTAGGAAGAGTTAACAGTTGGCATCAATGAAATTTGGCTGAAAGCTTGAGTGTGTGAGTTTATACAGCAAAACAAACCTTCCTTGCGTGAAGGTACACTCATGGTGGATAAGAATGATGTGGATAACACTGGAGATGAGGGGGAAAGGATATCAAACACAATGATGGGGGGAAGAAATGAAGATGAGGGTGAAGGAAAAGGGAGTGGGCGAGAAAGATCCTTATGAATCATGTAGTCTATGGAGGGCCAGTCAGGACCACTTGAGATCCTTTTTTACCTTCAAGGCATGGTACTGAAGGAACTAAAGGATCTCAAGCGCTCCCAAGATCCTTTGTTACCTCCAAGGCATGCTGCTTGAATTAAAGGAACCAAAGAACACCAAGAGGTCTCAAGTGGTCCCACAATCCTTTGTTACCTGCTTGAATTAAAGGAACCAAAGAACACAAAGCGGTCCCGTGATCCATTAAATCACCAGAGTTAGAGGGTTAGAGGGATCTACCGCCCTTTCTTTGCTTTCATACCTCCGAGTGCAACATCTGTCCACGGATGTCAAAATAAACACCTTTGATCAAAAATTGAAGAAGTCAAGCCGCGCCTTCTGGGGTTAGCATGGACAATGAGTCAGATGTAAAAGAAGGAACGTAAATTAAAAAAAGATATAGAATCCAACTCATCTTGCTGTTTTACGGCTTGCTGCCAAAGTGTATGCAAGCCAATCTATTGAATTTAGATTGGTGTTGCCCATCTTGAATGTGAGAATATTTAAATTGTCTCTATCATAAAATATGCACCCGAATCAGAAGATCCACGTGCTCATGGAGAATGCAAATGTTGGCATGAATCAGGACTCTACGCAAATTAGAAAAATCAGTCAGCATGTGATTTTTGACATGACTGTCAAGTGCAGACTCTGCACAAATCAGTCAGCAAGCATTGATGGCGCGGAGACCCAAGTTTGAAAATAAATAAAATTATGCACATGTAAAATAAACCAGTAATGGTAAGGAAGGCCGGCTTCAGGTAGAAAATCTGGAAGGAAGGAAAATAACTATATACAAAGTATATACAAAGAGAAAACTATGAACAAAAAAATTTGTACAAGAGACAGGAAAAAGAAAATTGAAAAATTGAAAAAAGAAGGGTTAAAGCATCTTCTGAAAATGTTTCACACCCGGTGCTAACAACGGGAGTGATTGGATTGTTAAGGCATTGATCTGTGTGGTGCTTTGTCTGCTCAGCCACTCGTTGCATATAGCATTCTTTGGAAGAGATTTGGGACACTTCCTGAAACTGATCTTTGGTCTACAGGGTTGCACCCGGGTACAGGTCAACTTGCCATATTTTTTACAGCCCAATTGTCTCTGCAGATCTATGAGTTCATTGACCAGTTTGAAAGGTCGTCCAATTTGAGGATGGCGCCACGGTAGATGTTTGACTATCACACCTTTTTTGTGGCTGTCAACGTTCATCATTCTGGAGCCTTTGTTGTCAGTATCAGCATCACTGGAACATTCCTGGGCAATTGGAATAAGCGGAACTAATGCTGCCTGACTACAGAGCAAATTGATTTGCCCATCACAGAGCTAGAAATCTGGATATCAGTGAGATACACACAAAGAAAAGTGATGAGAAATGTCACAATCAATAACAAGGCTTACTCTATTTGTGTGTGCTTCTTGACGCTTTAAAATGGCCCTATGGTTCAATCCTTGTGGATCCCTTGTGGTACCTACAAGAATGCTAGAATTAGCAAGAGTGCCACTTGAACTAAGGAAGTTGTGACAGAATCACGTTCAAAGTATCTGTTTGGCATGATTGTGAATTGAATGGCGGATTTTTGCTTTGAAAGTATCTTTGAGGTCAATCTCTGAATATTCCTGGGCGGCAACTAGCTTAAGGAAGATCTTATGGGCAAGATCCCATAGAAATGTGTTATCAGTATCATGAGGACCCGGGCCAAGTCAGGCCGGAATGAAACAACACCACACTGTTGCATGCACTGTTGTGAAATAGTCATAAGGCTCGACTGCAACACATGTCACAGATTTGTAGTTAGTCTACAAGAGTGATTTTCATGACTAAAAGGAATGAAAATTATCGATCTCCCGATCTCTCATGCACCCCCACATGATCCCAAGTGTAGCCACGGATGTGTCCTTATGGCCAGGACCATTGGGATATGGGAAACTTGGGCCGTCATGTGAATCCAAGGAAGGGTAAGAAGCGTTACTTGAACTTTCATTGTCTGAGGAGTTGTTGTCCTGTTCAATTCTTCCTACTTCCAATCGGCCTTCTCACGTTTGGTGGCAGGGGGTGGGAATTGGTTCAAGTGCATACATTTTCCAAACAGGGCCTTGATGTGTTGGCGGTGTGGTGAATCTAATGGTACAGGCCCTCATCAAGATAAAAGAATTTCAAGTTTCTCAACAACTTCAAGATCAAGACTCTAGACTCAAAACCCCCGCTTAATTTTCCTATGATTATGACCTTAATTCCTATTTCTTTTTTTTTTATTATTCAGACTTTTAGGTCAGGTTTCCTTTTGTTTTTTTGTTTAAAAATAGCTGTTTTATGTTTCTTGGTCCTAAGGCATGAGTTTTTATTCATGTTGATTTATTTGTGATTCATGTTGTGTTTGTGCTGTTCTGTTTTGTTTTGTTTTCCTTCTTCTCTTTTCTTAGGGCTCTGGAGTGTCTCAGTCAGGTTGTCGATTTGTCTTTTCCTTCTTGGGTTGTGTTTGTTTTGGTGTTTGTCTTCCTGTCTTCTGTTCAGGTTTGTAGTCAGGGATGTGATGACATGTCCTGTGACATGTCACTTCCCCAGAGTTTAAGTTCAATCTGAACTCAGACGATGGGGGGGCATGGGACTTTGCTCTGATCCAAGGGAAATACCATCAAACCTAATTGATCTTGATATTCCTGATACCTCTGATTTGAAGATTAGATACAATTGATTGGATTTTTTGAGTTCTTCCTAGATATTCTTACCCCGGATTTTCATACACCTCAATTCTAAAGTAAACTTCCACAACTCAATTGCCACGGAAGTCCTCTTCCGCTGTCTTCTAGAATCACACGCCCTGGCAACTGGTTTAGATCACACTCGACTTGTACGGACCCCACCACGAGGGCAGCTCACTCAGCACCATCCCCTCACCTAACTGCCTCCGGTCTGAAACCGTAGGAGTTCCATATTTGGTCCCCCGAGCCGGGATCAAACCCGCAACCTCAAGATTTACAGTCTTGTCTAGGATTTCAGACGGCTGGCGGTTCTTTCTTTTTTTTTTAGAGGAGGAGGAATTTTTTTAGGATTAATATACTTTTTTCTCCTGACAGATACAGCTGTGTGCTCGCGTGGATTTATCTAAGGATCAAGAATTCCTAATCTTCCTCGGGGTTTACACGTGGAGATCGTTAGCGCAAAGGAACCTTGGCGTTGGGACGTTTGTTTTAGGACAAACACTGGATTCTAGTTGCCGTTAAACCTCCTGCTACTGGAACAAGTAACCGTTCATATTTGTGAAAATCCTGCGGAGAGAGTTGGGGAGACGATTCGTGGCTTTTGATTGAGCCAGCAAACAGCCGATACCTCTACTCAATCAAGAGTTATCACCTTTCAAATGAGTGCAACTGCTGGAAGAGTTTTAGATCTTGATTTCAGCGTTCATTTAATCCTGGAATCAAAGTGATCGGCCCACTAGCTCAAAAGTTATTCAGCTTCGAAAATCGACACTTCCATTGATCTTTAATCCTATCTTCGAAGCGCTACATCTCGGAAGCAATTCTCTTTGGCGGAACGAGGTGGCCAATAAACATATAGTTATTGATCACAGCTTTTGTTTTGATTGGACCCGTTACGCGTGGGCATAGGGGAGATAGAAGTAAGTCCCCTCCATAGTAGCACCTCCAAAGCGTTCTACATATTGTTATAAGCATCACTCGCCACGCTGTGAGCCGTCTCTGTTGTTTGCAATTATTTTCCAGGAACAACAAGATGGTCAAAATCAAATCGCCGAATAAGCAACTCTGCTTTGATGGAACCAAAGTCAAGCGGTTCTTGGAGACCTATGAGATAGTAGCCGGCTTGGACAAGGCTACCGAGCTCGATATGGCCAAGCAAATCAGGCTTTTTGTTTTGAGCGACAAGCTTTTGGACGTGCTAAAAACTTTGGATGGTTTCAGCCCACCTGATTGGCCCAAGCTGAAGGCTGCAATGATCACATATTGGGGGCAGGTCAATACTGCCAAGTTTACAACACGGGATCTGGACAAGCTGGTTGAGGAGTGGTCGTCTAAGGAAGGAGTTTCGTCCGCAGCCAACTATCAATCGTTTCGGAAGGTCTGGGAGCCAATCCAGTCATATCTCTTGGCAAATGCTCATATCGATTCCATTGAAGAGATCCAGAATTCCTACTACCAAGCGTTCTCGGCAGCTGTTCAGAACGAGATCCGTAAAAAACTGATGCGCGACGGCACCATGGTGAAGACGTTAGACAAGCGGTTCAAGTTACCAACTTTCCAGATTCTACAAGAGGGGGTTGACAGCGTGATGAAGGAACAGACCACGTTGACCTTCGAAGATTCTAGGACATCTGAGGTGGTTCCGTCGCCATCCTTCTCAGACAGGAATAGAGTCATGAAGAAGATGGAGGATGATTGTCGCCCCAAAGAGGGTCTTCAACCATCCAATCCGGCACCGTCGATGGACGAGTTGTCTAAAATGTTTGAGGCTTTCGAGCAGAGAATCGACCAGAAGCTAGCGGCTGTCTCCAGCAAAGCCCCTCAAGGATCCGGACAGCCAATGGTGTGTTTTTATTGTCATCGGGAAGGACACAGAACAGCCCGATGTCAGGAGCTTCAGAAGGATAAGGAGGATAACTTGGTCGAGCAGAAGGGAACAAACTTCTTCCTTCCAAATGGCGCATTGATACCTTGGGATTCTAGTCGGCCAATACGACATGTTGTGGCTTCCTTCCAGCCCTCAAGGGCTACGTCTAGTCAGGCGGCACTGGACGCCTCTCCGAGTTTCAAGGTTGGGTGTGGTTTGCTTCAGCTCTGGTATCCCCCGGCTGTATCTTTGCAGACGTTTGCGGGAGCATAAGAGTCCGACCCGGCTGTTTGGAAGAGACATGAGGCTTCTAAGCCTTACAAGGCTCCTGCGACTCCTCCAGCATCAGCTCGGCGGGTACCAAAGAAAGCATTGCCAGCTCCCGCATCTTCCAAACCCCTCTCCAACATGGAGCCCGAGATGGAGCTGTTTGATCGGACAGAAAGTACTCCTAAGCCTGAGGCGTCAGGATCTCAAGAGCCTAATCAAGCAGAACAGCAGTCAAAGCCAAGCGGCTCTCAACAAAAAGTTCGTTTTGAGCGCGGCGTGTCTTGTGAGCATCCGGACGCTGCTGAAAGTGTCCTCAAGAAAATATCGGATTTGTCAGTACCTGGCGTTACGGTGTCAGAATTGATGGCAATCTCACCCACGGTTGCGGAGGGAATGAAGAAATGGGTTTCTCGATGTCGTGTGGATAATGGCTCTGAGGAGCTGAAGGTCCATTCTGGAACGCTTGTTGAAGGGAAGGAAGCAGCTGATTTGAGAATCAACCCGAAATTGTACTCGTGTCCGTTGGGATATCTCTCGTGCTTCATAGGCGAATATGAGAAGCTGGCAGCACCCTTGGTCGACTCTGGGTCTCAATTGAATTTAATTTCTGATTCTCTGGCAATCAAGTTTAATCTTAGTCCACGCGTGAACTTCACCTCAGCTGTATACGGCATCAACAACCAGGCATGCAAGTTGATGGGGGTGGCTGAGGATGTGCCAATGCGCATAGGTAAAACAATCATACAGAGCTGTCACTTTTGGATCACAAGAAACAATGGCCCTTTAATCCTGGGTTGGCCTTTCTTAATGGACATCGGAGAAACACTAGCGTATTCGTCACAATCAGGCGAGAAGCTCATTATCCCGGATGCAGCAGGACGTAACATTGAGGTTTCCTTGTGTCCAACAGAGACGGGAAGATGGGAGCGAGATTTTCCAGGCTAGGGTCACAGGGCAGTCTTGACTCACATGGGAAGGATTCCAGACGATTCTCAAGAGGACCGTCCTTTTTTATGAGTTTAGTTGGTTCAAATCGCGGTGGTCTTAATATAGGTCCTTGCATTCTCACCGTCGAATCAACTCAAAGTTTAGAGGGCCAACAGATTTCAGTTTTTTCACCTCTCAGTTTCCTTCGTCAAAATACAAAACCTAAAAAACATTCAGAAATAATCAAAAATATCAAAAAGAAGATTTCAATTTGGTTTCAATCTAGTTTCAAGCCTCATTTGTATATTAGGAACAGGCAAGAGGAAGGAGGAGAATGGGAACCTTTGCGGAGGCAAAAGAGTGTAGAAGTAAGTCCTCCCAATGTATGCATCTCCAGGGTATCAACTACTTGCGTAAAAACTCTACAATATGCCACACTCATGAGCCCTACTGGACCGCTACATTCCTCTTCCAGATCACCTCAATCCTCGGTTTCAGATCCCCGTCTCTGCAACAAGAATAAACTATCCACGCTTCACCTCTCCATTTCTCAGCTCTCAAATCTAGATTCTTGTCTCCGCAATGAGGATAAACTATTTTCTGTTCGGTGAAGTGATGAAGATGGAGTAGTGGAATTTGAACCTCCGTGGAGGCAATTTGGAGTAGAAGTAAGTCCTCCCAATTGTGCACCTCCAGGGCTAGATGCCACCAAACGTTTCAAAACTCTACCGTGTGCCACATATGTGAGCGATACTCCGGCCCTTGGTTTCTCCTTTTCAGAAAAATCTGCGTTTGAGGATCCCTCTGAACATCGGACTTGGCTCATGCTTGAGCGAGGTTTGAACCGTCAGTCACAAGATATCCTTCTAGAATCGTGGAAGCAAGGGGATTATCTCATGTTTGCTACTAAGTACAAGCCAGTTGCCAAGAAGATCAAGCCTGTGAACAAGCCTATGCCCGTTGGACTCAATCTGCCTCTCAAACTCCCCCCTCTCTCTTGCGACCCGTATCGTGCACTTCCTAGGTCTCTGGCTGGCCCTTTTGTTGCTCGTGGACGTGTCACAGAAGAACGGCTTTCAGTGGTTGATTTTGGACCAGATGGTTGGCTTTCTCCAGACGAATTGAATTTGATCAAAAATGTTCTAGCGCTGCGGGAGAAGTTGATTGCCTTCTGTGAAGAGGAGTGTGGTCTTTTGAAAGAGTCCTATGGTCTTCCCTATATCATTCCAGTTGTCGAACATGTTCCGTGGCAGAAGAAGAAGATTCCAATTCCGGCAGCTAAGTTGGAAGAGTTCATCAAGTTAATTCGAGAACGAGTGCGAACAGGATTATATGAACAATCTACGTCAAGCTATTCTAGTCCAGTCTTTTGTGTTCTCAAGAGCAATGGAAAACTTCGAGTTGTTCATGATCTTCAGCCATTGAATAAAGTTACTATGAAGGATGCTGGAGTTCCGCCCGCTACTGAAGATTTTGTGGAGTCATTTGCTGGACGTGCTTGCTATGGACTTGGCGACATCATGGGCAGATATGATGAGCAAGCTCTAGATCCCATTTCCAGACCTCTGACTACTTTCAATACTCCGCTCGGCCGTTTTCAACTCACTCGGTTACCTCAAGGTGCTACAAATTCTGTTTCTGTTTATCAAGCGCAGATGATGTGGATTTTACAAGACGAGATTCCAGAAAATGCCGGAATTTTCATTGACGATGGCGGTATCAAAGGACCGACTTCGGATTATAACAATGAGTCTTTGTCTTGGCACCCTGGCATTCGACGTTTCATTTGGGAATACGCAGAAGTTCTAGAGCAAATCCTTTTCCGTATTGAAGAATCAGGTTTGACAGTCTCAGCATCCAAACTAGCTGCTTGTGTTCCTGCTTTGGAGATTGTTGGTCATGTCATCTGTAAGGAAGGTCGGCGAATGTCAAAGAAGAAATCGAATAAGATCCTCACTTGGCCCAACCCAGTCAATCCCACTGAAGTTTGTGGATTCTTAGGTTTGGTTGTATATGTTCAAATTTTCATCCCATCACTTTCAGAGATCTGCTTGCCACTCCGTCGCCTTACTCGAAAGGATTCAGTTTGGAATTGGACGGACGATTGCGAGGCGGCCTTTCAACTCCTCAAGACTATTGTTGGGAAAGACATTGTTTTGGTCAAGATCGATTACGTACCAGAGGCAGGAAAAATCAAGCTTGCAGTCAATTCTAGTTTTCATGCTGCTGGTGCCGTCCTTACACAGGAAGATCAAAATGGTTTGGACCGGCCCGCTTTATACGAGTCCCTTCTGTTTTTGGATGTCGTATCTAGATACTCTCAACCCAAGTTGGAACTGTGTGGTGTATCCTGGATCTTGAAGAAACTCCAGACAATCTTGTGGGGCCAGCACTTTGAGCTTCAAGTTGATGCACATTCCCTGATTCAAATGATCAATTCTCCAAGTCTCCCAAATGCACTGATGACACGTTGGGTTGCCTTTATTCAGCTCTTTTCTTTTGATATTGTTCACCGACCCGGAAATTCTTTCACTATGCCAGACAGTCTTTCTCGGCGGCCACGTGGCAATGACGAATCTGATCCGCCCTCCAATTTTGATGAGGATATTTCAAACTTCAAGCTATTGAAGTCTTATTCGGCAGGCCCTTGTGAAGATTACTTGGGATACCAAGAAGGTTACTGGCGAATGATGGAAGACTATTTGAGGACGTTGTTGCAACCTGAAGGCTTCAATTCTAAGGAATTCCAAGCATTCAAGAGAAAGTCTGTGGATTTCTTTGTTCAGTCGGAAGGCTCATGAAGCGTGGAAGTCCTTGTGCTCGCATTGTCATCACCATTCCAGCTAAGCAGGATTTTGTTCTCGAGAATCTGCATGAGGAACTTGGTCATCGAGGGGAAATCGAAACTTATCGGAGAGTCTCGGAGTGTTTTTGGTGGCCCTCATTAAAGAAGTCAGTGGCTCAGTGGTGCAAGAGTTGTGAAGCTTTTCAGAAGCGGGATTTGCGCCGCCCAATGGAGGTTTGTTATCCTACTGGCGAGGCGACTGTTTTTGGACGAGTGGCAATGGATGCGGTACACATCAAAGCTAGCGGTGCCAATTATCTGATTGTTGCTCGGGATGACTTTTTGGGCTGGGTGGAAGCCAAGTTCCTCAATACTCTCAGTTCAGAATCAGTGGCCTCATTGGACAATGCGGTATGGAATTGCACGTTCATATTCTACTGACGGCGGATCTGAATTGGGGGGAAAGCTAGCGGAGATGTTGAGTTCAATGCCAGTTCAACATTGGGTTTCAACTCCATATTATCCTGAAGGTCAAGGAATGGTCGAGCGGGGCCATGGACCCCTCAAATCGGCTTTGGTCAAGCTTGCTGGCAAAAGTGGGAAGAATTGTTGGAATTTTCTGCCTCTGGTTTTGTTTGCTGACCATATTTCAACCAAAAGGACCACAGGATATTCACCTTATGAACTTGTCTTTGGACAGCGAGCAGTTCTTCCTATTGACCTTGAAATGGAGTCGTATCTTGGCATTGATTGGGAAAAGGTAGAAGACACGGCAGATCTTTTAGTGGCACGATCTCTACAGTTGGAACGTAGTGAAGAGACCCGAGGAATTGCGTATCAGAAGATGATGAGGGCCCGCAAAGAGTCCATCCAATATTGGGAAGACAAGAAATCTGGGCAAATCAGGGATCCGTTGAAGCCAGGCAAACTGGTGCTGGCTTATAACAGATCCCTTGATTCACAGTGGGGAAAGCTTTTCTTAAATCGATGGAATGGTCCTTACCAGGTGGTTTGCCAAGTTCAAGGTGGATCCTATGTTCTGGAGGAGTTAGATGGTACGGAACTGGCAGTACGGCGCTATTCCGCAGATCAGGTCAAAAGATTTTTTTCCCGTGGAGGCAAAGTTGACCAAAAGTAAGTCCTCCCAATTGTGCCACCTGTGGCTGCAAAATTCTTCCATCCCAAATGGAGGAAAATCATGTTCTCATCATCCACTTGGAATGGAAAATGGCTGGAGCTGAGCTCATCCAATTTTTTCAGCTCATCCAGCTCAGTCAGCTCTTGGACCCAGCTCATCCAGCTCAGTCAGCTCAAGTCAGCTCTCAGACCCAGCTCAGTCAGCTCTCGGACCCAGCTCAGTCAGCTCTGGGACCCAGCTCATCCAGCTGATGAGGTCCACTAAAAATACAAACAACACTAAATCCTCAGTCCAGTCTCTGTAGCCTAGTCAGCTAATCCTGCCCTCCACCTCCCTTGAGGTTGTGGGTTCAAGCCCCACCAAAGGCAGCTCCAATTTAGGGGTTAGGGGTCAGGTTAGGGGTCAGGTTAGGGGTCAGGTTAGGGGTCAGGTTAGGGGTTAGGTTTAGAGGTTAGGTTTAGGGGTTAGGTTTTAGGGTTTAAGGGTTAGGTTTAGGGGTTAGGGGTTAGGGGTTAAGGGTTAGGTTTAGGGGTTAGGGGTTAGGGGTTAGGTTTAGGGGTTAGGGGTTAGGTTTAGGGGTTAGGGGTTAGGTTTAGGGGTTAGGGGTTAGGGTTAGGGGTTAGGTTTAGAGGTTTAGGTTTAGTGTTAGGTTTAGTGTTAGGTTTAGGTTTAGGGTTAGGTTTAGGGTTAGGTTTAGGGTTAGGTTTAGGGTTAGGTTTAGGTTTAGAGTTAGGTTTAGGGTTAGGGTTAGGGTTAGGGTTAGGGATTGGGGTTAGGGATTAGAGCTGGTTTTTGAGCTGGATGGGCTGGATGAGCTGGGTTTCAGAGCTGACTGAGCTGGGTCTGAGAGCTGACTGAGCTGGATGAGCTGAAAAAATTGGACGAGCTCAGCTCCAGCCATTTTCCATTCCAAGTGGATGATGAGAACATGATTTTCCTCCGTTTGGGATGGAAGAATTTTGCAGCCAAACCTCATTGTGCACCTCCGGGCGTGATGCTCTTGAAAGTTTTCAAAACTCTACTTCTTGCCACAATTGTGAGCACTTGGCGGGCCCTGGGTTTGTTTGTTATTTTTTAGGTTCTTTGTTAGGAGGAGGAAGGAGAGGAGCAGTCTAGGGATAGACTGCAAATGGTGGGTGGATGTGGTGAATCTAATGGTACAGGCCCTCATCAAGATAAAAGAATTTCAAGTTTCTCAACACCTTCAAGATCAAGACTCTAGGCTCAAAACCCCCGCTTAATTTTCCTATGATTATGACCTTAATTCCTATTTCTTTTTTTTTATTATTCAGACTTTTAGGTCAGGTTCCTTTTGTTGTTTTGTTCAAAAATAGCTGTTTCATGTTTCTTGGTCCTAAGGCATGAGTTTTTATTCATGTTGATTTATTTGTGATTCATGTTGTGTTTGTGCTGTTCTGTTTTGTTTTGTTCTTCCTATAGTTTTGTTTTCCTTCTTCTCTTTTCTTAGGGCTCTGGAGTGTCTCAGTCAGGTTGTCGATTTGTCTTTTCCTTCTTGGGTTGTGTTTGTTTTGGTGTTTGTCTTCCTGTCCTCTGTTCAGGTTTGTAGTCAGGGATGTGATGACATGTCCTGTGACATGTCACTTCCCCAGAGTTTAAGTTCAATCTGAACTCAGACGATGGGGGGGCATGGCCGGACTTTGCTCTGATCCAAGGGAAATACCATCAAACCTAATTGATCTTGATATTCCTGATACCTCTGATTTGAAGATTAGATACAATTGATTGGATTTTTTGAGTTCTTCCTAGATATTCTTACCCCGGATTTTCATACACCTCAAATCTAAAGTAAACTTACACAACTCAATCGCCACGGAAGTCCTCTTCCGCTGTCTTCTAGAATCACACGCCCTGGCAACTGGTTTAGATCACACTCGACTTGTATGGACCCCACCACGAGGGCAGCTCACTCAGCACCATCCCCTCACCTAACTGCCTCCGGTCTGACACCGTAGGAGTTCCATAGCAGACTCGCACCCATAGCAGGAAATATATGAAGATATGTTTCATCTAAATACATTACTGCGCATGCACTACTTACCAAGAGGGAGAGGTTGCAAGGACCCAAACAAGTTGTAGAGATTGGATCACCACTAGAGCTTGGCCTAAGGGAAGAAAGATTGACAGTCTCAAGACAGTGGTCTAGGAGACCGGAGGCCTTGGTAATCTGAGAGACTAATTGCTGGCCAGCACATGGGCATCCAGCCACAAGACCAGGGTTGATTTCACAGCAACGGATGACACGTTTAGATGGGGATGATAGTCCTGTGGGAGATGGAAGAAGACCTCCAGCTCTCAACACCACTGGCTGAAGGATGATGACTTGGCACGATCACCTCATTTTCATGGTATGATAGATGGACCGTTAGACTGTTACGACAAACTTTTTTGTTCCTTGATCTTTGACGGCTAGCTTGTGCTGCAGTTGGGATCAGCTGAAAAGCTGTGGTGGCTCATTTCTTCTGATGCTATGGGCTTGCAAGGGAATCGTGTGTTTGTTTCTGTTTTCTCTGTTTGGCAACCAACAAGGGCACATCAGAGTCTCCAGGGTGCCAAGCATGCAAATTGTGTTCAGAAACGCTGTCATCAGGTAATGGCAATTGAGGAAAGTAGCTGTTCTCGCAAACTCTTTCTTGCCTACAGATATGTGAGTTTGATGCACAAGGACGGGCAGGGCGCCTACTCTGTGGCAGTCCAGAAGAAGAACTATCTGGTTCAGGGCGGTTTTGTTTGGTGTGCACTGCATTTGGATAGAGGTCAGCCAATCTGTTTCTCTTGTGAGGATGCCTGATGCCGGGTGGGCCATTTGGCTCCTGCAGTGTTGAGGTTAAGCCTGCTAACATGATGTATCACCACAGTCTGGAGGTGCTGTGCAGTTGAACCTAGACCAGTAAGACCCAACTACCCTGGCAGCCACAAGTGTCTGTAGCCTAGTTGGTAAAGGCAGCACTCTGGTATGTGTCTCAGCTTAGCTGAGGTCGTGATTTCGACTCTCACCAGACACATCTTCATTTTGTCTGTCTCTACATGCAGCTTGAGAGGCTGATGTTTGAGTTTGGAGTCCAGCTGTTCCAGCTGGTTGTTGTCATGAAAAAATGGGTGCACCATGTAGCTATTCTATTGGGCAGCTTGTGGCCTAATCCTACGCAAGGTGGAGGCTTGATCATTGGGCCCGGGGTTCCTGTGTTTCAACCAACCACTTCTTGAAGAGGGTATGCTCTTCCTCTTCTTTGAGGCCCCAGGCAGAATAGGAAAAAAATTATTCTTTCTGTTATTTGCAGAGGTCCTGTTAGTTGTATTAGGCTGGGATTGTTGGTTTCAAGGTCTCTGTCTCCCTTGTTTCCGGGATGCCTGGGTTTGAATGTCACTCATCTTACTTTGCTTGTTTCAGACATTATTAGTGGGGAACTCTCTGTGGTTTCTTGTGGTTGACCGGCCGCTGATTGATGTCTGGGAGGTTGGTGCGGCTGATGGTTCACTTGAAACCACACTTGATGGCACAGATGGCTGATAATTGGACGATGATGCTGTAGACCGTGAGGTGAAGCAACTGGGAGGATGCAGAGACGGGAGGACTGGAAGGTGGGTCAGGCCAAGAATATACTAAACCATGATTGTTGGTGTCACTGCCTGACTTGACTCTGCATTGACTTCTTCTGCGTGGTAGCCATGAAGATGACCACAAACCAGACTGAGTAGCCTTAGGGTGTTTGGATGGCTGCTGTTCACCAAGGATTGGGAGACTGGAGCATAGGAAATTATAGCTTCCAATCAACCGTGCGAGGCAAGCCGTTGGAGTGTGTGGAACATTGCACTCATCCAAATACTCTTCCAGTTGCTCCCGGGAGAGCTGTGATGGGTCTGCCTTTAAAAGAAATTGGGTTAGAAAAGATGAAAATCAGGGAAAGACCGGGAGTTTCAAACTTACCTGGCCACACAAAGGGGTCTTTTGACTTGCACTTGAGGGCCTGACTACTTGCTAGAGCCTGGCTCCTTCCTGTAGACGGTGGCCCAGAGTCAGAGGCAGCCAGATTCCAAAGCAATGAACCGTGCTCACCGGACGATTCCAAGTCATTGTCTCTGGAGAACTCCAAGCACCTGTCTCCTTGATCTTGAGGAGAGGTGGCACCAGAAAGCTCATCTTGCCTTGAATCTTGATTGGATCTTGCTGATTGAGGAGGACAGAATTTTCAGGAAGATCAGAATCACGGTCGTCTTGTTCTCGAGGGGAGGTGGCATTGAGAGTGGGCTCAGAATCTTGGGAGAGGGCATTTAGTGGCTGGTCAGACTCTGTAGTTTCATGGAAGGCAGAATTGACTGTAGATTCAGAGTCCTGGCTTTGAGGCAAGGCAGGATTGATCAGAGACTGGGAATGCTGGTCTTCAGTGGAAGATGGGTTGGGCAAAGCAGGAGACTCGGAACACCGGGTTTGAGAGGAGGATGGGTTGGGTGAAGGGAAGCCTTCAATGTGAGACTTGGAACACCGGGCTTGAGAGGAGGATGGGTTGGGAAAAGCAGGAGACTACAAACACCAGGCTTGAGAAGAGGATGGGCAGGGAGCAGGGATGCCTTCAATGGGAGACTCAGACCGCTGGGCTTGAGAGCAGGATGAAATATGTGAGTTGGACAAAGTTGGTGAATCCACAGGCTGCAAGGGCGTCTGAGAATGTTGGTCATTGTCAGATTTGTCCAATGTAAGGTTACGCCTGTCAGGTGATTGCAAAGACAGATCAGAGGCTCTGGACGCTTGGTCCTTCTTTCCTTGGGCTGCTATCAAATGGGGCAATTGTCAAAGAGAGTAGCCATTGGATGTTCTTGAGGCCTGGGAGATGGAGTGTTCCAACAATCTTCAAGATGAGGCAGAGGTTGTTCAAGTTCGACCTCAAGTGACTCACCCTGCAGATGACACTGAGGTTTGCCTATCTTGATGATGCCTACCTCACCCGCTTCCCCCAAACCCATCTGGAGAACTGTCAGCCAACGTGATACCAAGACACAAGATCTTCTAGCTACACATGGTGCAAGAACAAACAAAAACTTGTAAAGTTTTGGTTTTAATTTTGAAGGAATAAATTCCAATAAAATAAGGGATTTTATGGGTTTTAAATTAAGAGAAAAGTGGCCAATTTATATTAAAAAATTAATATAAATTAAAGCAGAGGGGCCTGATAAATCAGGGGTGGCTTAGATCCCTCTAAGGTATCGTGCAAAGGCAGAGGATTTAGGTACCTAGTACACTGGGGCCTGTAAAACAGGGGTGGTTTATATCCCAGGATTTCATTTTAAGGGAAAAAATCTTCAAGAAAGGGTTATTACTTACTAGTAATAATCCTGTAGGTTCTTGAGGATCTTCAGAATAGAACCTTGGCAGTTGGAAGCGCTCAGAAAGTTTGGTTTTGGGTTCTGGGTGATCACTGGGGAGTTTCTTGAGGGTTCTTGAGGCTTAATAACAGCAAAAATAGTAATAACTAGGCTAATTACAAGTGTAGGGGACTTGTAAATGGTAAGTATGTTTCTATATGGTATTGTAAAGCTGGGGGATCATTATTTGGGCGGTCAGAAGGCCCTTTAAATACCTGTGGAAGGCCTCAGGGGTTGCTCAGGGGAGCTTAGTAGGACTTGGGGGCACTTTTGGGCCCATTTTGGCCCACATGGTGATGTAACCAGGGCTGGAACCTTGGGGATAATATTCCAGAAGCTCCAAGGGGTCATGAGCAAAATTATTACAGCCAAGAATGTCCCATGGGAACCTGTAGATAGGGGCTACTCTGTCACGTGGAGCAGGTTCCTTGGAAATGGGCCACAGAATATTCCAGAGATGTCTTCTGAGGCTTGCTACACGTGTTACCCACTGGAATATGGTTACTGTAGTATTTTCATGGATATTCTAGCTTGTTTAAATTCTTATTACATGTGTGGGGGCTTGGTTGTCACGTGCAATGGGGATTCTGGGGCTTTTGTGGCCCAATCCTTGGATACTGGTGTGCAGCATGACTACATGGCGCGGGGGCTTGGAGACAGGAATCCACACTGCTCTATCTTCTAAACCATGCACAATACTCCAATTCTGAGACTCGATTTGGAGTATATGCATTATGCATTATGCAGAAGTGTCACAGTACCCGTGATCTGGGGGTACCTGTTAATTATTCATGCATGTATTACAGGGTGAAGGAGTTAGAATTTGGGGTACCCTAGGTTAAATTGTATGCTGATTCAGAATCTGCAATAATATCTAAGATTTTTTTTATACTTTTTAAGTTATTCATTTATTTTTATGTATTTTTTATCTTATTTACAAAAGTAATATTGTTTCTTTTAATTATGTAATATTTTTAATTTATACTCAGATTTTTTATGTAATTTATTATTTTTATTTGCTATGACAGGTTGTCTCTGCCATAGTAGCAAGCTGACAAGAACCACCGTCTTCTACCTTTCTCTCTCATCTGCCATTCTTTGTCCTCCTGTTTCCTCCTATGTCCAATCACATTCTCTTCCTCATCCTGCTTTGTCAAATTCTTCATCTCATTATGTTCCTGCTACTCACAATGTTGTTGAGACTCAACAATGCAATGAAAACACCAACCATGTTGACTCCAAGAATCTAACCAGACCCACCGGATTAGCAGTGAAGACAGCAGAGAAGGAATTATTTGAGTCCCCTTTGGAAGTATCACCCAGTTTCACCTGGAGGCCAGAAGATCTAACAAAGGATGAGGCTACACTGCTACTTTGGCACAGGATTTTCAGCCATGCTAGCCTTAGAGTCATCAGGCGCCTGGTGAAACAACAAGCGGCTTTTGGCCTGCCCAAGAAGATGCCTGCAGGACAACTATGATGCCCAGTGTGTGCAATACACAAAAGCAACAGGCCCAACATTCTCCATCAGTCTAATATGTCTGTTAAACCACTTGAAATTCTGAAGGTTCACTCAATGGGACCTTTCCCTATTGAGACTTACCACAAGGGTTGCTATGTACTGACACTAAAAGATTTAGGTTACGGCTATAATGAAGTTAAAATTATGGCAAATAAATCTGAGGCTAACAAACACATTGTAGACAGAGGGTGTAGCACTAGTGACTTTGCGGATTGAGCCACTTGGATCAAGGTCCTTTGCAAGGTTATTGTACAGTTTGAATAGATGGCCACGGCTGGCTTGCGCTGAGTAGTGGTACTACAAGTTGTTTGGCGGCTAGATAGATGTCATGGATGCAGCCATCAGTCTAAGTTGAATCTAGTTTGACTCCAAAATAAAGTTGTACTGACCTGGCAGTGGTGCACCCAACAAGTCCTGCTCTGTCCAACGCTCCACGGATTCCACAGACTCGACGCGGGCAAGTTGAACATATTGCTGAAACAATTTGGTGTGTTTTTCACCTTGATTGAAAAATGTGTTCAAAGATTGGCAAAGCTTGGGGATACCAAGCTGATTTGGATCTGAGAATCCCGACATCAATATGCATTGGGATGAGTTTAGATAAAACAAAATCTTACCTTGCCATTGAGGGTCGGCCTCCTCATTCTTCCTGAAACATTTCATCAGACAATGACAGAAGAGAAGACAAAAATAATCTAAAAAGTTCCATGTAAGGGCAGGCAAAATGATGCAAGAGTCAAACAACCCTGAAAGATTTGGACAAGAATGAGAGAAAGAGTCCAATTCCTCTGGGCACTGAACCAGTTGGTAGAATTTGTTCCAACAATTGAGAAAAATTACTCAAGGATCAAGCCAAGCAAGGATGATAAACAAGGAAAAATTGTCAATAATGATCAGCTTCAAGCCGAGTAAGGATGACAAGCAAGGAACAGGGGAAAGTGGAACAGTGAAGACTTGAGAGACAAAGAAAAGCGTAAGAGTAATTACCCATCCACACCATGCCATGCATCTGTGTGACCAAATCTTAATTGCTGGTCCATTGTCTTGCTTCATTGCTGAGATCACCTTTCTTTCTTGCTTCATTGTTGAGTTTGCCTTTCTTTCTTCTTCACTTCATGGCCTTAGTGGTCTGGTGAGGGGTCTCCGTTGAGGGTTCTCTGCGGGCTGGTTTTCCTGATGTTTTGGTAGCCTTTCAGCTGGTTTCAGTTGATTTGGTTGGTGGTAGTCTCGTGTTAAATTGATTGATGGCGGTTAGAAATTGAAAGGGTGGCAGATGGACATTGTGAAACAAAGACTTGAGGAGCCTACTTGGGCTTGGTGTTAAGCTTTACTGGTTGTACATACATACATAAATATTAGGTTGGCTGCTGGGTTTGCTGGCCAAAGTTGAATGGGTTTTCTGGCCAAAGTTGAAGCAGGTTGAAGGCTGAAGCGCGCAATTTGGCTTTTGTGGTATGATGTGAGCTGACAGAACATGGGTGTTGTCATCCGATAATCTTCCTATGTACATTCATGCTCAATCAATCATCTTCCCACTTGATATGTTCCAAACAAAGGCTTATGAATCCAGTCTAGGTAATTGTCCACACACGGCCATTGCAAGAAAAGGGAAAACATTTGGGTGGGCTGCAAGAGGCAGAAGCCAGAAAGGGAGGTAAAACTGAACAAAGGAAGGCTAAAGCTTGCAAAAGCAAAGTTGCTTCTAAAGCTTTCAAAAGGAAAGTTGCTGTTAGGTCCGCAAGCGTTGCCATTAAGCCGGAAGCTTGAAGGTTGTTAAATTCTGTTGAAGCTTGAAGGCCGTGGAAGCATGATGGTCTCTACAATATAACTTATAAGGGGAAGGAAGTGCTGCGGCCTGCCACGGCTGAACTGCTATAACCAATGCATACTTACAAAAGCAAAGTTTGAAGTGTTGCCGTTGTGAGAACTCCTTTGGGAATGGTGGCAGTCCTGTGAGGGGGAAATAACAAATATGATATTGTGCTTGTTTGATATATATTGTTATGGGTGGTTTGAAAGACCTGCCCCTCTATTGTACTACACAAGAATTCTGACAACAAAAATTTATATATTGATGTGCCAAAACCTTTATAGAGAAACCTTTATGTAGTAGTCTCTATCAGACCTAGATCAATTGATATATATGAAGTGCTATGAGACAAGCTATCTAAGAACCTGATTAAGATCACAGGTGTTGAAGAGGGGGGGGGTTGATGATGATGATCACCAGCTGGCCAGGCTGTGTGATGATGAGATAC